TGAGCTTGATGATTAATAAAGTGTTATTCTTCTCAAATTCTTTCAATATGTTTTCGTATTGAATCTATCCTTGAATATCTCAATATAAACCTTATATGAAATGTTTATTGGTTATAGTGCTCACAGTTAAATAGCATGATTTTTAGAATAAATGAACTTTTATAAATAAGCAATTTTTTTTTTTTAATTAAGTATGCTATTCACGAATATTGGCACGTGCATAATAACATATGTTCATAGTTGGAAATCTAACATACACGACATAATTGGAAAAATAAAATTTCATTATAAAATATTTTATTGGTAGTACTAGGACACCAAGGCATGTTTATGTGATATTTGTTAGGCGTAAGTGAGACTTTCCGAGTGATCACAAAGGAAGATAGGAGATGTACCTTTGATGATCATGGAATGATTGATTACTTGATTGTGTCTTTGTGATATTGTGATTATTGGCGTAGCTAGTATGATTATATCAGCCATTTGATTATTGATTACTAATATTAATATTGCAAGGTGTTCTATTTGGTGCATAGTAGGTGGTGGGTCAATGGTCCAATGAAAAAGAATGTTTGCAAATAAAAGCATTTTGCGTTTACTTGGATGATTATATCATGACTACGAGACAATATTTTCTAGTATTACAAAATGTTTCACATCTTGATGATTATTAATATTATTATTATATGGTGATATAATGTGAATAGTTAAATGATGTAAACTCAATTTTTGACAAATATATATAAATGAGAAAGGATAATTATTTTCAAAATTCTCCACTCACTGAACTATCAGTGCATATATATTTTCAATGATTTCCTTATCAGGTAGCAGTTGAGTTTTGTAACTTAGGAGAACATGTTGATTTTAGAGCCACAACTACATGACAGATTTATGGCTCGTTTGTCGTAACTTTTGATTTTGTTTTTAGTTCTTGTAGAATAACTTTTGAATGAAGTTACCTCAATTTTTGTGTTGAAAACTAATTTTTAAAAGAGCATTATATTCCGGAAGTGTTTCTAGAAAAACCACATTAGACCACCTTTCTCTAAAAATTCTTTTAACTACCAGAAACACTTTCATAAAATGAGTCAAACGATTTCAAAAGCAACTTTTGGATCTCAAAAGTTCCGTTTTGCTTTTCAAAAGTCATGCCAAATTGACCCTTAGATTATTGTGTCATTTGAATTGAATATGTAAATATCATTTTAAGCCCACATTCTTTTGACATAAAATGATTTTTCATTATCTAGCATATGCTCTGTAGAATGTCAAGTTAGTCTTCGTGGTGGTTCGGTATCTAAGTGGCATTCACTATTGGCCCACGTTACGTTTCGGGTCCTCTACGATGATTCAGGATGGTTCTTATCAACTATAATTTCCAATTGAACTCAATACCCATCTGAGGTGGGAAAGTTGACACCACATTTTAAGTGTCTTAAAGGTTTTTAATTTTTTTTCATATTTATAATTTATGTCCCCAACTTTTTTAATTGCCTTTTTATTCTCAAATTAATATAAGTTATCTTGATGAAGATTCTATTCAAAAATTTCATTACGATGAAGTAAAAAGACTCATTTATATCTCGCATCTTTAAATAAGCAAATTACAAAATTAAGATTAAATAATCGTCGCTCGTTTTAAAGAACGATAACCATACTTTTGAACAAAAAATTGTAATTAAGAACAAAATTTGCTAGTTAACGAAAGGTTCAAGATAAGAAAATAATAAAAGGAGTTATAGATATCAATGTGAAAATGAATAAAAACTAAAAACCTTTAATATAACTAAAATGTTATATACTTTACACCTATACAACTCTCATTACAGTCTACAGAAAGTGACATTTGAGAAAGGTGGGACAAAATTATTCATTTAACATTGTCCAAATAAAAAATTTAACTTACCATTACTGTCAATAAAAATTGATGATTAGGTATTTAAGAGATCTGCCTGTGTATTGATAACTTGTTACTTCTAAACATATTTTGTGTAACTTTCAAATAAAACAAAGTCACCTTTCAAAAAAAAAAAAAA